CTTCCGGGCCGCCTTAGTGGCCAGCTGCTTCCTCGGTGCCTTCCCACCGGTGGATTTCCGCGCTGTCTGCTTCGTACGAGCCATAGCGGGAGCTCAGAGCCTGCCGGGGTGGGGGGAACGGAGCGAACCGGGGTCGGCCCCGAAGGGGAACCGGGACAGCGGGGCCTCACCGCGGAGCAGGCCCCGCCGCTTCCCTCAGCGCCTCACGGACTACAACTCCCAGCATCCTCCGCGCCGCTTCAAAACACCCCCCCCTTCCACCACTGCAACCAATGACTGTGCACGCCGCGTTGGACTGACGTCAAGCGCAGCCAATCAGCGCCCGGCTGCAGACGGAAGGCGGGATTAAAGGGAAGCGTCTCCTCAGATGACCCCACCGCCGAGGCCTCCCCAACCAAAACCCCTCCCGGAGCCGCCGTTACCGGATGGCGGCCGCGGCCCTGCAGTTCCGTTACCTCCGAGCCCGGCGGGCGGCGGCGCCGGTGCCGTTGTTGGGGGCGGGGAAAACAAAAGGGGGGAGGGGGAAAAGGGGGAAGGCCCCGCGTTGGCGATTCCGCTGCTCCCGCTGCCTTCCCGCCACAAAATGGCGGCCGCGCGTTACCCGTCATGCACCGCGGCGGAAGGGTGGCTGAGGTGAGGCGGGACGGGCGCCATCTTGGTGCGGGGTCGGTAACGGGGATGGAGGCGTTCAGGGCTCCGGTACCGTGTTTAATGCGTTCAGTAACCCGTTTAATGCCTCTGTATCGGTTTTAATCCCTCTGGTACTGGGTTTAGTGCCTCCAGTACAAGGTTTAATGCCTCTGGTACCGGTTTAATGCCCCCGGTACCTGTTTTAACTCCTCCGGTACCGGGTTTAATCCCTCTGGTACCGGTTTAATGCCGCCGGTACCGGGTTTAATGCCTCCGGTACCGGTTTAATACCCTTGGTACCGGGTTTAATGCCTCTAGTACCAGGTTTAATGCCCCCCGTACCGTGTTTAATGCCTCCGTTACCGGTTTAATGCCCCCGGTATCCGGTTTAATGCCTCCAGTACCGGTTTAATCCCTCCGGTACCGTTTTAATGGCTCCAGTCAGCACAGACTCCATCACCTGAAGCCCATTCCCGGTCAGTTTTCCATGCATTTATTCCATGAAGCAATGGGAATTCCATAGACACGAATGGGGGGCTTGGAGGAGAGGGATGGGTGTAGAAAGCCTTAAATCCCGGTGGATTTATCCCGGTGTTGTTCATGGGCAGCGAAAACAGGGATAAAGGAGTGGGAATAGGGATGAGGGATGCATCCCACTGGTGCCACGCGTGCATCGGGGATCAACCCATTGCTTTTGGCTGTTCCCGTCATGGAGCGCTGCGGGAGTGGGAATGGGGTTGGGAATGCCATAGGGAATGCCATAGGGAATGCCATAGGGAATGCTGGAGGAGGGGGGGGTTACATGGGGGGCAGGAGGGCGCTGATGGCGTTGAGGATGCGCTGGAGCTTGGCCTCCGAGTCCACGAAGCCGGCGCCGGCCTGAAGGGGAATGGGATTGGGAATGGGGCGGGAATGGAAGGGAAAAGGGGGAAATGGAGGGGGAAATGGGTGGGAATAGGGGGGAAATGGAAGGGAAATGGGTGGGAATAGGGGGGAAATGGAAGGGAAAAGGCGGGAATAGAGGGCAAATGGAAGAGAAAAAGTGGAAATAGGAGGAAAATGGAAGAGAAAATGGGGAAATGGGTGGGAATAGGGGGGAAATGGAAGGGAAAAGGTGAGAAAGTGGAAGGGAAAAGGGAAATGGGGAAATGGAAGGGAAAAGATGGGAATAGGGGGGAATGGAAGGGAAAAAGTGGGAATTGGGAAAATGGAATGCAAAAGGTGGGAATAGGGGAAATTGGAAGGGAAAAGGTGGGAAGAGGGGGAAATGGAAAGGAAAAGGTGGAAATAGGGGAAATTGGAAGGGAAAAGGTGGGAAGAGAAGGAAATAGAAGGGGAAAAGTGGGATTGGGGGTAAATGGAAGGGAAAAGGTGGGAAGAGGGGGAAATTGCAAGGGAAAAGGTGGGAAGAGAAGGAAATGGAAGGGGAAAAGTGGGATTAGGGGGAAATGGAAGGGAAAAGGTGGGAAGAGAAGGAAATGGAAGGGGAAAAGTGGGATTAGGGGGAAATGGAAGGGAAAAGGTGGGAAGAGAAGGAAATGGAAGGGGAAAAGTGGGATTAGGGGGAAATTGGAAGGGAAAAGGTGGGAAGAGGGGGAAATGGAAAGGAAAAGGTGGGAATAGGGGGAAATGGAAGGGAAAAGGTGGGAAAACGGAAGGGGAAAGGTGGGAATAGGGGGAAATAGAAGGGAAAAGATGGGAATAAGGGAAAATGGAAGGGAAAAGGGGAAATGGAAGGGGAATGGGGGGAAGTGGAAGGGAAGAGGTGGGACTAGGAGGGAAGGGGGAAAGAAGAAGGGAAGAGATGGGAATGGAAGGAAGGAGAGGAGCATCATTGGGAAGAGGAGGGCAAAAGGGTGGGAAGGGGGAAAGTGATAGGGACGGGGTGGGAAAAGAGGAAATGGGAAGGAAAAGGGGGGGAAATGGTAGGGAAGGGGGGAATATGGCAGGAAAACAGTGGGAATGGAAGGAAAAGGGGGGGGGAATGGAAAGGAAGGGGTGGGAAGAACAGGAAATGAATGGGAAAGGGGAGGGGAAAGGGGGTGAAGGGGGGGTCCCACCATGGGGTGGTCCCAAGGACCAGGGAGGGGGGCACCCACCTTCTTAGAGTGCACCAGGCGCCCCCCCACCGTCACCTCGAACCATCCTGTCACCTCCTTTGTGCCCTGCCCCTGCTGTGGTTGGGGGGGGTCAGGTCACCCCAATGTGTGTGACCCCCCCCCATCGTCACCCCAGTGTGACCCTCCCATCACCCCAATGTGTGTGACCCCCCCATCATCACCCCAGTGTGACCCCCGTCACACCCATGTGAGCCCCCCATCATCACCCCCAATGTGACCCCAATCACCCCAAAGTGACCCCCCATCACCCCAATTTGACCCCCATCACCCCAATGTGACCTCCCAATGTGTGACCAACAGTCACCCCAATGTGACCCCATCATCATCACCCAGTGTGACCCCAATCACCCCAATGGGATCCCCCCATCATCACCCCAATGTGACCCCATCGTCACACCAGTGTGACCCCCATCACCCCAATGTGACCTCCATCACACCCATGTGACCCCAATCACCCCAAAGTGACCCCCCCATCATCACCCCAATGTGACCCCATCATCACCCCAGTGTGACCCCCATCATCACCCCAATGTGACACCCATCATCACCCCAATGTGACCCCCATCACCCCAGTGTGACCCCAATGTGTAGCCCCCATCATCACCCCAATGTGACCCCCAATGTGCGACCCCCATCATCACCCCAATCACCCCAATGTGACCCTCATCACCCCAATGTGAACCCCCCAATGTGACCCCCCCATCATCACCCCAATATGACCCCAATCACCCCAAAGTGACCCCCCCATCATATCCCCAGTGTGACCCCCATCATGGCCCCAATGTGACCCCCCCAATGTGTGACCCCCCCTCACCACTTCCAGCACTCCCGGGAAGCGCCGCTCCAGCTCCTGCTTCAGCTGCTGGAACTGGGAATGATGGGGGGGGGTCACCCCAATGTTGGATATGGGGGGGGTCACCCCAATGTTGGATATAGGGGGGGCAATGGGGGGGGCACTTAGGGCTCACCTTGGGTTTGTAGCCTCAGGCACCGCTATGGGGGGAGCATCAGTGAGGGGGGGGGGCTGCAAAGGGAGCCCCCCCCCCAAAATAGGGATCCCCCCAACAGTGACCCCCATAGAGATCAGTGGGCCCCCCCAACACAGTGACCCCCATAGAGATCAATGGGCCCCCCCAACAGTGACCCCCATAGAGATCAATGGGCCCCCCCAACAGTGACCCCCATAGAGATCAATGGGCCCCCCCCAACAGTGAACCCCATAGAGATCAATGGGCCCCCCCCAACAGTGACCCCCATAGAGATCAATGGGCCCCCCCAACAGTGACCCCCATAGAGAGCAATGGGGACCCCCAAACACAGTGACCCCCATAGAGATCAATGGGCCCCCCCAACAGTGACCCCCATAGAGATCAATGGGGCCCCCCCAACAGTGACCCCCATAGAGATCAATGCCCTCCCCCCAACAGTGACCCCCATAGAGATCAATGGGGCCCCCCCAACAGTGACCCCCATAGAGATCAATGCCCTCCCCCCAACAGTGACCCCCATAGAGATCAATGCCCCCCCCAACAGTGTCCCCCATAGAGATCAATGGGGCCCCCCCTCATTAAAAGCCCCCCCCCCGGTACCAGTAGACAACGGAGACGCGGAGCGGCGCGGCCATGGCTGCGACTGCGCATGCGCGGTATAAGCCCCGCCCCTTAGGCTGGCCCTACGCTCCGCCCCCTGCGCAAGTGGGAGCACTGATTGATCCCATTATAACCAGTTATTGATCCCAGTGTAACCAGTGATTGACCCATTATAACCAGTGATTGATCCCAGTATACCCAGTGACTGATCCCATTATAACCAGTGATTGACCCAGTGTAACCAGTGATTGATTCCAGTGTAACCAGTGATTGATCCCATTATAACCAGTGATTGATGCAGTGTAACCAGTGACTGATCCCAGTATAACCAGTGATTGATCCAGACCCATCTGCACTTTCCCCCCACACCCTCCCTCCCCATTTCCCAATGCCCCCCCATAGAATCCAATTGGATCAGCCATTGTGCCAAAGGGCTTATTGGGATAACGCATCCAATGGGATCCACGTCACAGCCTGGAACAGAAAGCAGGGGGTCAGGGGGGCCCAGACCCACACTTATGGGTCCAGACCCACAGTTTGGGGCCCAGACCCACAGTTATGGGTCTAGACCCACACTTACGGGTCCAGACCCACACTTTGGGGGCCCAGACCCACACTTATGGGTCCAGACCCACACTTATGGGGCAGGAGGGGGTCACACTCACGTCACGGCCCTGAACGCCCTCTTCTCCACATACTTGAGGCGATACTTGCGCTTGAACCTGGCCAAAGGGGGGGGTCCAGCATCAGCCCCATTGCCCCCCCATTGCCCCACATGTGTGGGGCAGGCCCCACGTATCCCCCCCACTGCCTCGACCCCTTACTTGGCTCTTTCCCTTGGCTCGATCATGTTCCGCTTCTGGAAGCTCTTGAAGCGATCCCGGAGGATGCTGCCTTCGGGCTGGGAATGGGGGAAAGAGATGGGGATGAGATGGGAATGGGGGGGGAAATAGGGGGGGAAAGAGATGGGAATGGGGGGGGAAAGAGATGGGAATGGGGGGGGGAAGAGATGGGAATGAGGGCGGGAAGAGATGGGAATGGGGGGGGAAAGAGATGGGAATGGGGGGGGAAAGAGATGGGAATGAGGGGAAAGGAAAGGGGGAAAAGGATGGGAAAGAGATGGGAATGAGGGGGGGAAGAGATGGGAATGGGGGGGGAAAGAGATGGGAATGGGGGGGGGAAGAGATGGGAATGGGGGGGAAAGAGATGGGAATGGGGGGGGAAGAGATGGGAACGGGGTGGAAATAGGGGAGGAAAGAGATGGGAATGGGGAGGGAAAACAGATGGGAATGGGGTGGAAATAGGGGGGGAAGAGATGGGAATGGGGTGGGAATAGGAGGGAAGAGATGAGAATGAGGGGGGAAGAGATGGGAATGGGGGGAAGGGATGGGAATGGGGTGGAAACAGGGGGGAAGAGATGAGAATGAAGGGGGAAGAGATGGGAATGGGGAGGGAAAAGAGATGGGAATGGGGTGGAAATAGGGGGGAAAGAGATGGGAATGGGGGGGAAATAGGGGGGGAAAGAAATGGGAATGGGGGGAAGAGATGGGAATGGGGGGAATGTGATGGGAAAAGAGATGGAAATGGGGTGGGAATAGTGGGGAAGAGATGGGAATGGGGGGAAAGATGGGAATGGGGGGGAAGAGATGGGAATGGGGGGGAAGAGATGGGAATAGGGGGGAAAGAGATTGGAATGGGGGGGGAAAGGAAAAGGGCCCCCCCCAACTTTGGGGTCTCCCTATGGGAGCCCCCCCAGCACCCTCAGTCCCCACGGCCTCTCCCACCCGGTGAGGCCTGGGGACCCCCAAAGCCTTCACATTCCCATGGGGAATCCTCACAGCGCAAGGATGGGTTCATCACCGGGTGCTGCCCCCCCAGCCCCAAACATGGGGACCCCCCCCCCGCAAAAGGGGGGAACCGACCTTGAGCACCCGCAGGGACTCGGGGAGCTCATGGCTGAGCTGCACGTCCAGAGCTGGCTCCTGGTACCTGCAGGGCCAAGAAAGCACACCAGTGTACCCCAATATACCCCAATGCATCCCAGTGCAGCCCAATGTACCCCAATGCATCCCAGTGCACCCAATGCCTCCGTGTACCCCAGTGCAGCCCAATATACCCCAGTGTATCACAGTGCAACCCAATACACCCCAGTGCATCCCAATGTACCCCAGTGCATCCCAGTGTATCCCAATGTACACCAATGCATCCCAATGTATCCCAATGTACCCCAATGTACCCCTAATGAACTTCAATACACCCCAATATACCCCAATGCATCCCAATGTAGTCCAATATACCCCAATGCGTCCCAATGTACCCCAATAAAGCCCAAACCATCTCAATGCACCCCAATGTACCCCAATGTACCCCTAATGAACTTCAATATACCCCAATATACCCCAATGCATCCCAATACAACCCAGTGCACCCCAATTCACCCAATGCACCCCAATGTACCCCAGTGCTCCCCAATGTACCCCAATACACCCCAAATCCACCCCATATCCCAAGAGAACCCCTAAATCCCCCCATTCCCCCCCACGTCACCCCAACCCCCCAAATCCCCCCAAGCCACCCCACCCCCCCTTAAATCCCCCTTTGACCCCGCCCCCTTCCCATTTGACTCCGCCCCTTTTAGATCCCGCCCCCTCTCACCGGAGCCTCCCCACGCGCCGGGGCCGCGCCTTCCCCGCCGCGCGCGCGGCCGCCCTGAGCGCGCGCCTGCGCCGTAGCTCCGCCTCCCAGCGCGCCACCTGGCGGCGGAGCGCGCGCAGCCGGAACAGCTCCTGCCGCGCGCTGCGGGCCGCCGCCTCCCGCCGCTGCCGCTGCGCCTGCGCAAGGGGGGGGGGGGAGAGGGACACCGGAACAGCCGTTAGCGCCAATTGGGCTCCTTGGCGCCAACGGGGGGGGTATTTGGCGCCAAAGCATCCCTATTGGTATCCCCATTGACCTCCCTGTATGCCCATCAACATCCCAGTGTCCTCATTGACATCCCCGTGTCCCACTGACTTCCCTGTATCCCACTGACATCCCAGTGTCCTATTGACATCCCTGTATCCCCATTGACATCCCAGTGTCCTATTGACCTCCCTGTATCCCCATCAACATCCCAGTGTCCTCAAAAAGATCCCTGTGTCCCATTGACATCCCTGTATCCCCACTGACATCCCTGTATCCCCATTGACATCCCTGTGTCCCACTGACATCCCTGTATCCCATTGATATCCCTGTATCCCATTGACATCCCAGTGTCCCATTGACATCCCTGTGTCCCATTGACATCCCTGTATCCCATTGACATCGCAGTGTCCCCATTGACATCCCTGTATCCCCATCAACATCCCAGTGTCCTCATTGACATCCCAGTGTCCTACTGACCTCCCTGTATCCCCACTGATATCTCAGTGTCCTATTGACATCCCTGTATCCCCATTGACATCCCTGTATCCCATCACCATCCCTGTATCCCATCGCCATCACCATATCCCATCACCATCCCCATATCCCATCGCCATCCCTATATCCCATCCCTGTATCCCTATATCCCATCCCCATCCCTATATCCCATCCCCATCCCCGTATCCCATCACCATCCCCGTATCCCATCACCATCCCTATGTCCCATCCCTGTATCCCTATATCCCCTCACCATCCCCGTATCCCATCCCCATCCCTATATCCCATCCCCATATCCCTATATCCCATCGCCACCCCTATCCCCACCATTCCCACCCTCATCCCGACCCCTCCGCACCAGTGCTCGCGCTTCCTTCTCCCTCCGCCGCTGCTGCTCCGTCTTCTTCCCCTTCTGTGCCCTGGGAGCTTCCCGAGGCTCCGCTTCCGCTTCCTCTTCCTGCTCCTCCTCTTCCTCTTCCTCCTCCAGGAGCCCCTCACACTGCTCCTGCAGCACCGACTCCTGCAGGAAACCCCATGGGAAATGGGATCAGAGCCGGGAGATGGGATGGGGATGGGATGGGGATGGGGATGGGATGGGGATGGGATGGGATGGGATGGGGATGGGGATGGGGATGGGGATGGAATGGGGATGGGATGGGACGGGATGGGGATGGGATGGGGATGGGATGGGGATGGGATGGGGATGGGATGGGGTGGGGGATGGGGATGGGATGGGGATGGGGATGGGATGGGGATGGGATGGGGATGGGATGGGGATGGGATAGGGATGGGATGGGATGGGGATAGGGATGGGATGGGGATGGGGATGGGGATGGGATGGGGATGGGGATGGGATGGGGATGGGGATGGGATGGGGATGGGATGGGATGGGATGGGGATGGGGATGGGATGGGGATGGGATGGGGATGGGATGGGGATGGGATGGGGTGGGGATGGGATGGGGATGGGATGGGGATGGGATGGGGATGGGATGGGGTGGGGATGGGGTGGGGGTGGGGTGGGGGTGGGTATCCGGGGGGGGAGGGGCTGTCTCACAGCAGTGGGCAGCTGGATCCCAGCTGGGATCTGCAGCCTCCGCTCCAGCTTCTCCTCCGCTCGCTGCTTCCTCAGCTCCTCCTCGTGCGCCCGCAGCAGCAGCGCCTGGGGGGGCACAGGTCAGGTGAACCCAATGGGGGGGTGCCCATTCACCCCTATGGGGATGGTCCAATTCATTCCTATAGGGAGATCCCATTCACTCCTATATGGGGGGGGTCCCATTCACCGCTACAGGGAGATCCCATTCACCCCATGTGGCAGGATCCCATTCACCCTTATGGGGGTTCGCATTCACCCCTATGTGTTAGGGTCCCATTCACCCCTATGGATGGTCCCATTCACCCCTATGTGGGGGGGTCCCATTCACCCCTATGTGTTGGGGTCCCATTCACCCCTATGGGGGCGGGGTTCCCATTCACCCCAATGTGTTGGGGTCCCATTCACCCCTATAGGGGTTCCCATTCACCCCAATGTGTTGGGTTCCCATTTACCCCAATGTGTTGGGTTCCCATTCACCCCTATGGGGGGGGGCTCCCATTCACCCCTATGGGGGTCCCGCTGCCCCCACCTGGTGCTCCCCGAAGGTTGGGTTATAGGAGCCGCCGCCATCGATGACCTCCAGAGCCGGCACCTCCGGGAGCGGCTGCAGCCGGGAGGGACGCTGGGATATGGGGGGGGGGCGTCAGGGGGGGCTGAGCCCCAAAAACCCTCCTTGAACCCCACTGAACCCCCTTTAACCCCCATTGAACCCCCTTAAACCCCCCCTTTAACCAATATTGAACCCCCTTAAACCCTCCCTTTAACCCCCATTGAACCCCCTTAAACCCCCCTTTAACCAATATTGAACCCCCTTAAACCCTCCAACCCCACTGAATCTCCATTGAACCTCCTTAAACCCCCCCTTTAACCACCACTGAACCCCCTTAAACCCCCCCTTTAACACCATTGAACCCCCTTAAACCCCCCCTTAAGCCCCATTGAACCCCCTTAGCCCCCCCCTTACCTTGACCTTGAGCTTCTTGGTCTGTTGCAGGAACCATGGGTCCTGCCCCACCAGTGCCTGGTCCAGGGGGTCTGGGGGGGGGGGCACAGCATGGTTTGACCCCCCCTTTGCACCCCCATTGCCCCCCATTACTTACTATGGGTCCCCCATTGTCCCCCATCACTTACTATGGGTCCCCCATTACTTACTATGGGCCCCCCCATTGCCCTCCATCACTTACTATGGGCCCCCCATTACTTACTATTGCCCCCCATCACTTACTATGGGCCCCCCATCACTTACTATGACCCCCCCATCACTTACTATGGGCCCCCCATTGCCCCCCATTACTTAATATAGGCTCCCCATTGCCCCCCATCACTTACTATGGGCCCACCATTGCCCCCCCATCACTTACTATGGCCCCCCCATTGCCCCCCATCACTTACTATGGCCCCCCCATTGCCCCCCATTACTCACTATGGGCCCCCCATCACTCACTATGGGCCCCCCATCACTTACTATGGGCCCCCCATTACTCACTATGGGCCCCCCATTCCCCCCCATTGCCCCCCATTACTCACTATGGGCCCCCCATAGGTCATAGAACTCCCTGTGCGGGTCCGAGCGCCCCTTCTCCAGGTGGGGGGGCGGGGCTGCGGCGGAGGGGGGCGGATCCCGGCGGAGGCGGTTCCGGAAGCGCCGCTCTTCCCGCGGGAACAGCCCCTTTTCCGCTTGCCTGGCCCAGAATTCCCGGCGGCGCCGCAGCTTCCGGGCGTTGGGGATCTGGTGGGCGAGGATGCTGGGGGGGGGAGGGGTAGGAGGGGGTGGTGGGGATGGGGGGGATGGGGGGAGAGGGAGGAGGGGTGGGAATGGGGAGGAGGAAATGGGGATAGAGACAGGGAATAGGGATGGGAATAGGAATGAAGATAAACAGGGATGGGAATAGGGAAGAGAAAACAGGGATAGAGACAGAGAATAGGGATAGAAACAGGGAATAGGGATAGAAATAAACAGGGATAGGAATGGGGAAAACAGGGATAGAAACAGGGAACAGGAACAGGGAATAGGGATGGAGATAAACAGGGATGGGAATAGGGAAGAGGAAACACGGATAGAGACAGAGAATAGGGACAGAAACAGGGAACAGGGATGGAGATAAACAGGGATGGGAATAGGGAGAAGGAAACAGGGAAAGAAACAGGGAATTGGGATAGAAACAGGGAATAGAGGTAGGAACAAGGAATAGGGATAGCAACAGGGAATAGGGACAGAAACAGGGAATAGGGATGGAGATAAACAGAGATGGGAATAGGGAAGAGAAAATAGGGATAGAAACAGGGAATAGGAATAGAAACAGGGAATAGGGATAAGGATAAACAGGGATGGGAATGGGGAGGAGGACAAAGGCATAGAGACAGGGAATAGGGATGGAAACAGGGAATAAGGATGGAGATAAACAGGGATGGGAATAGGGAAAACAAGGATAGAAACAGGAATAGGGATAGAAACAGGGAATAGGGATGGAAATAAACAGGGATGGGAATAAGGAAATGGAAACAGGGATAGAGACAGGGAATAGGGATAGGAACAGGGATGGAGATAAACAAGGATGGGAATGGGGAAGTAGAAACAGGGATTGAGACAGGGAATAGAGGTAGGAACAGGGAATAGGGATAGGAACAGGGAATAGGGATGGAGATAAACAAGGATGGGAATGGGGAAGTAGAAACAGGGATAGAGACAGGGAATAGGGATGGAAATAAACAGGGAATAGGGATAGAGACAGGGAATAGGAATAAACCGGGATGGGGATATGGAAAAGGAAACAGGGATAGAGACAGGGAACAGGGATAGAGGGAAAAGCAGAGGGAGCAGGGATGGGGGCAGGGAACAGGGATCTCCCCCCCTCCCCCCCTCCTTTTCCTTACTCTTTGGGGGCCGGCACCTTGGAAAGCGGCTGCAGAACCAGATCCACGTGGAGCGGCTTCAGTGGGGGGCGGCCTGGGGGGGGGGGGGGTGGACCCCAAAGTGAGGGGGGGTGGGACCCAAAGGGGGGGAATGGGATCAAAAATGGGGGGATAGGACATAAAATGGGGGGGATGGGACCCAAAGCAGGGGGATGGGATCTAAAATGGGGGGGGAGACCCCAAAATGGAGGGCATGGGACCCAAAGGGGGGGGATGGGACCTAAAATTGGGGGGGATGGGATCTAAAATGTGGGGATGGGACTTAAAATGGGGGGGAATGGGACACAAAATTGGGGGGATAGGACCTAAAATGGGGGGAAATAGGAGCTAAAATGGGGTGGGAGACCCCAAAATGGGGGGGATGGGACCAAAAGGGGGGGATGGACCCAAAAATGGGGGAGATAAAACCCAAAATGGGGGGGACTGGACCCAAAATGGGGGGGGAAAGACCCAAAAATGGCAGAATGGGACCCAAAATGAAGGTGGGGAAATCCCAAAACGGGGGGGATGGGATCCAAAATGGGGGGGGGATAGGATCTAAAATGGGGGGGGAACTCCCCAAATCCTCACCCTTGTCCTTGGTGGCGTTCCCGGTGTCCAGGAAGAAGAGGCCCTCGTCCGGTTGCTCTGAGATGAGGCCCCTAGAGTGGGGGTGACGACACCCAAATGTACCCCAAAAGGACCCCAAACCCCCCTTTAACCCCCCCAACCCCCTTTTAGACCCCCATTAAACCCTTTTAGACCCCCAAAACCGCCCTTTTTGACCCCAAAACCCCCTTTCGCAGGGCCCTCACCCCGTGGTCCGCTGCTCCAAGGCCACATCTTCAAGGAAGTCGGCGATTTCGCGGCCCAGCCTCGCCTCGGGGCCCGACAGCCGCTTCCAGGCCTTCTTCCGGTTGCGAGGCCCTCGGGAACGGCGCCGGGAAGCGGCGACAACCCCGGGATCCCGGGAACCGGGGCCCAGGCCTAGGAACGAAGCGGAGGCCTCGGCCGCCGCCATCTTGGAAAAGACAGGCACGCTGAGGAGAGTGCCGGAAAAGACGAGCGGAACTTCCGGTTGCGATATGGGTGACGCCATCTTGGGAAGGGTGAAGGGGAAGGGGGACGCCATCTTGGGAAGGACGGGCACGCTGAGGAGAGCGCCGGAAGAGACGAAAGGACACTTCCGGTTACAATGTGGACAACGCCATCTTGGGAAGGGTGAGGGGAAGGGGAACGCCATCTTGGGTAGGACAGGCACGCTAAGGGGCGCGCCGGAAAAGCTAAGAGGTAACGTCCGGTTGCGCTATGGGCGACGCCATATTGGGAAGGGTGACGCAAAGGGGGCCGCCATCTTGGGAAGGACCATGTTGGCTTGCTGGGAGGGGGAGGCTCTAGATGTGACGCCCCCATCACCCCCTTGCACACCGATACCCCCCCCTTTACCCCCATTGGTCCCCCCCAGAACAGCCTCCAGACTCCACCATCATCATCATCCTCCTTTATTGCATTGGGGGGGGGGTGTATTTTGGGGTGATTTGCGTGGTTTTGGGGTGGTTTTCGGGCTGGGTTTGGGGGGTATTTTGGGGGAGGTGTAGAGCTCGTTTTGGGCTATTTTGGGGCATTTTAGGGCTATTTTTAAGGTTTTTTCCGGGTTTGGGGCTATTTTGGGGCTGTTTTGAGCTATTTTAGTGCTATTTTCGTGCTCCTTTTTGGGGCAATTTTGCCCTGTTTCAGGGCTATTCTCACACTGCTTTTAGGGCTATTCTGTGCTATTTTAGGGCTATTTTTGCGCTATTTTAGGGCTATTTTCGCACTGTTTTGGGGGATATTCTGCGCTATTTCAGGGCTATTTCCGTGCTGCTTTTGGGGCTATTTTGCGCTATTTTAGGGCTATTTGGTGCTGGTTTAGTGCTTTTCCCACGCTGCTTTTGGGTTTATTTTCTGCTACTTTTAAAGCTGCTTTTGGGGCTATTTTGCGCTATTTCAGGTCCATTTCCTGCTGGCTTTAGGGCTATTTTGTGCCATTTTTTGTGCTGTTTTCAGGGCTGTTTTGGGGGCTATTCTGTGCTTATTTTGCGCTGATTTTGGGTCCATTTCTTGCTATTTTTGCGCTATTCTTGCGCTGCTTTTGGGCCCATTTCAAGCTATTTTAGCGCTATTTCCGCTCTGCTTTTGGGTCCATTTCAAGCTATTTTAGTGATATTTTCACGCTGTTTTGGGGCTCTTTTTGCGCTATTTTCACTCCTCTTTCAGGGCTATTCTGTGCTTATTTCTCGCTGCTTTTGGGTCCATTTTGTGCTATTTTATTGCTATTTTCAGCGCTGTTTTGGGGGCAATTTCCTGCTATTTTATTGTTATTTTCAACGCTGTTTTGGGGCTATCTTTGAGGTATTTTCACTCCTCTTTTGGGGCTATTCTGTCCTTATTTCACAGTGCTTTTGGGTCAATTTTGTGCTATTTTATTGCTATTTTTAACGCTGTTTTGGGGCTATTCCGTGCTTATTTTGCGCTGCTTTTGGGTCCATTTCCTGCTATTTTATTGCTATTTTCAGCGCTGTTTTGGGGCTATTTTCGCGCTATTTTCCCTCCTCTTTCACATCCATTCCGCGCTCTCCCATCCCCCACCACCCCCCCATCCCCCCCATCCACCCCCCTTCACTCCGCCGACCCCTTCTGCCTCCTCTTGGACGGCGGCACCAAACGCGGGGGGAGGTCTGAGGGGAGCCCCCTCCCTTCCAGCTTGGCCCCGATGAGGTGCCCGGCCAGGGCGAACTCCTCGGCATCGAGCATCCCATCGCGGTCCACGTCGCTCAGCTTCCAGATGCGGCCCAGTACGGAACTGGGCAGGTTACTGGTCACCATCCAGCCCTTGGCGCGCCGCCCGCTCAGCTTCCCTCCGGTCGGGGCCAGCCCGTAGAAGATCTCGTCGTACTTGGCCTTGTCCTTCATCACCGCCCATTCCCCGTCCTCCTCGCCCCCCTCCTCTTCATCATCCTCGTCCCCCCCTCTCTCCTCCGCGCTGAATGGACCCTGCCGGGTCCCGTCGAACGCCCCCCCCTGCACGGCCCCGCTGCCTTCGGGCGCCTCCAGCTCCTCCCGGCGCAGCAGCGGCATCAGCGCCGCGATATCGGACGTGAGGAGCTCGTCCAGAGCCTCCAGCACCCGCGGCTTCAGCGCTGGGAAACGGGAGAAGTCGTGGACCAGGAGCAGCTCCTGCCGGGGGGGGGGGGAGGGAAAGGGAGAGTGATGGAGGGAGGGGAGAGCACGATAGGGGAGGGAATATCGCGATAGGGGAGGGGATATCGCGATAGTGGAGGGGCCATCGCGATACGGGAGGGGAGAGAGTGATGGGGAGGGGATATCGCGATAGTGGAGGGATATCGCGATGGGGGAGGGGAGAGAGTGATAGGGGAGAGGAGAGAGTGATAGGGGAGGGGATATCGCGATAGTGGAGGGGATATCGCGATACGGGAGGGGAGAGGGGGAGGGGAGAGAGCGATAGGGGAAAGAATATTGTGAGAGACGGGGTAGAGTGCGATAAGGGAGGGAATATCGCGATAGGGATGAGGATATCGCGATAGAGGAGGGGAGATGGGGAGGGGGGAGAGAGATACAGGAGAGGAGAGCGTGATAGGGGAGGGGATATCGTGATATGGGAGGGGAGAGGGGGAGGGGAGAGAGCGATAGGGGAGAGAATATCGTGAGAGACGGGGTAGAGTGCGATAAGGGAGGGAATATCGCGATAGGGTGGGGATATCGTGATGGGGGGGGAGAGCGCGATAGGGATGAGGATATCGCGATGGGGGAGGGGAGATGGGGAGGGGAGAGAGAGATACAGGAGAGGAGAGAGTGATAGGGGAGGGGATATCACGATATGGGAGGGGAGAGGGGGAGGGGAGAGAGCGATAGGGGAGAGAATATCATGAGAGACGGGGTAGAGTGCGATAAGGGAGGGAATATCGCGATAGGGGTGGGGATATCGTGATAGGGGAGGGGAGAGAGCGCGATAGGGATGAGGATATCGCGATAGGGGAGGGGAGATGGGGAGGGGAGAGAGAGATACAGGAGAGGAGAGAGTGATAGGGGAGGGGATATCGCGATATGGGAGGGGAGAGGGGGAGGGGAGAGAGCGATAGGGGAGAGAATGTAGTGAGAGACGGGGTAGAGCATAAGGGAGGGAATATCGCGATAGGGGAGGGGAGAGAGAGCGATAGGGGAGGGGAGAGAGTAATAGGGGTGGGGAGAGTGCGATAGGGGGAAGAATATCACGATGGGGGAGGGGATATCGCGATAGGGGAGGGGAGAGAGCGCGATAGGGGAGGGGAGAGCGCGATAGGGGAGGGGAGAGAGCGATAGGGGAGGGGAGAGAGCGATAGGGGAGAGAATATCATGAGAGACGGGGGAGCGCAATAGGGGAGGGGATATCGTGAGAGAGAGCGGGGATAGCACGATAGAGGAGGGAATATAGCGATGGAGAGTGGTGATAGCACGATAGGGGAGGGGATATTGCAATGGAGAGCGCAATAGGGGAGGGAATATCGGGGTAGAGAGCTGAGATAGTGCCAGAGAGAACAGGGGATATCGCAAGAGAGAGCAGGGAATATCGTGATAGGGAGCAGGCATAGCGCCAGAGAGAGTGGGGAATTGGGATTGGGATCCCAATGGAGAGAGGGGAATATCCCAATAGAGAGCAGGGAATATCCCAATAGAGCAAGGAACTGGGGCCAAGATCCCAATGGAGAGCAGGGAATATCCCAATAGAGAGCAGGGAATATCCCAATAGAGCAAGGAATTAGGGCCAAGATCCCAATGGAGAGCAGGGAATTGGGGTTGGAACCGCAATGCCCTGGGGCAAGGACGAGCTCAGCCTCCCAATGCCCCCCCATTCCCAATCCCATCGGATCCATCCCATCCCATCCCAATGGATCCATCCCATCCCAATCCCAATGGATCCATCCCATCCCCAATCCCAACGGATCCATCCCATCCCATCGGATCCATCCCATCCCAATCCCAATGGATCCATCCCATCCCCAATCCCATCGGATCCATCCCATCCCAATCCCATCGGATCCATCCCGTTCCCAATCCCAATGGATCCATCCCATCCCCAATCCCAATGGATCCATCCCATCCCATCGGATCCATCCCATCCCATCCCATCCCCAATCCCAACGGATCCATCCCATCCCCAATCCCATCGGATCCATCCCATCCCATCCCATCGGATCCATCCCATCCCATCCCATCCCATCGGATCCATCCCATCCCATCCCATCGGATCCATCCCATCCCCATCCCACCCCACCCCCCCCCGTTCCCCACCTGCATGCGGGCGCAGTCCGGGAAGTCTCCCGCCGGGATGTGCTGCTCCAGTTGGATGCGGGCGAAGAGCAGCGGGAGCTGGGAAATGAGCTGCTTCTTCTTGGCCTCCTTCCCGAACACCGAGGGCATCTCCTTGCGCAGCCGGGCCAGGATGTGGGCATGGACCTGGGAACGGAGGCACTGGGATGGGATCCGTGTGGAGCCGGAGCCGAGCGCATCCCAAGGGAGAGGTCCCATTGGTGTTGTCCCATTCCAGTCCGCATCCCTGTTTCCATCCCATCCCAACTGCGTCTCAAGGGTTCCATTGGCTCCATTGGAACCGTGGTTGTCCCCTTGGCCCCATTGGATCCGTGGTCGTGACCAAGGTATCCCATTGGATCCATGGTCATATCCGTGGTGTCCTGATGTCCCATTGACCCCACTGACTCAGGTTCATGTCAAGGGTTCCCATTGACCCCAGCGCACCATATCCGTATCCAACCCATCCCATTGACCCAAGTCCATATCCAACCCATCCCATTGACCCAAGTCCAACCCATCCCATTGATCCATGTCCAACTCATCCCATTGACCCATGTCCATACCCAACCACCCCCATTGACCCCATTGCCCCATGTCCATCCCCATCCCATTGACCCCGTTGCCCCATATTCATCCCCAACCCATCCCATTGACCCATGTCCATCCGCAACCCATCCCATTGACCCCATTACCCCATGTCCATCCGCAACCCATCCCATTGACCCCATTACCCCATGTCCATCCGCAACCCATCCCATTGCCCCCATTACCCCATCCCCAACCCATCCCATTGCCCCCATTGCCCCCATTACCCCATGTCCATCCCCAACCCATCCCATTGACCCATACCCATCCCCAACCCATCCCATTGACCCCATTGATCCCATTGACACATACCCATCTCATTACCCCATATCCATCCCCAACCCATCCCATTGCCCCCATTACCCCCATTACCCCATCCCATCACCCTCACGAGCCGCGCTCTCTTCACCAGGTCATTGAGCTTGCGCAGGAACCCATCCCATTACCCCATATCCATCCCCATCCCATTGCCCCCATTACCCCATATCCATCCCCATCCCCATCCCATCCCATTGCCCCCATTATCCCCATTATCCCCATTACCCTCACGAGCCGCGCTCTCTTCACCAGGTCATTGAGCTTGCGCAGGAACCCATCCCATTACCCCATATCCATCCCATCCCATTGCCCCCATTACCCCATTACCCCATATCCATCCCATTGCCCCCATTACCCCATCCCATTACCCTCACGAGCCGCGCTCTCTTCACCAGGTCATTGAGCTTGCGCAGGAACCCATCCCATTACCCCATATCCATCCCATCCCATTGCCCCCATTACCCCATTACCCCATTACCCCATCCCATCCCATTGCCCCCATTACCCCATATCCATCCCCAACCCATCCCATTGCCCCCATTATCCCCATTACCCCATTACCCCATATCCATCCCATTACCCCATATCCATCCCCATCCCATTGCCCCCATTACCCCATATCCATCCCATTGCCCCCATTACCCCATTACCCCATATCCATCCCATTGCCCCCATTACCCCATTACCCCATATCCACCCCATTACCCTCACGAGCCGCGCTCTCTTCACCAGGTCATTGAGCTTGCGCAGGAACCCATCCCATTACCCCATATCCATCCCCATCCCATCCCATCCCATCCCATCCCATCCCATTGCCCCCATTACCCCATATCCACCCCATTACCCTCACGAGCCGCGCTCTCTTCACCAGGTCATTGAGCTTGCGCAGGAACCCATCCCATTACCCCATATCCATCCCATTGCCCCCATTACCCCATTACCCCATCCACCCCATTACCCTCACGAGCCGCGCTCTCTTGACCAGGTCATTGAGCTTGCGCAGGAACCCATCCCATTACCCCATATCCATCCCCATCCCCATCCCATCCGATCCCATCCCATCCCATTGCCCCCATTACCCTATATCCACCCCATTACCCTCACGAGCCGCGCTCTCTTCACCAGGTCATTGAGCTTGCGCAGGAACCCATCCCATTACCCCATATCCATCCCATCCCATTGCCCCCATTACCCCATATCCATCCCCATCCCATCCCATTATCCCCATTATCCCCATTACCCTCACGAGCCGCGCTCTCTTCACCAGGTCATTGAGCTTGCGCAGGAACCCATCCCATTACCCCATATCCATCCCATCCCATTGCCCCCATTACCCCATATCCATCCCATCCCATTGCCCCCATTATCCCCATTACCCTCACGAGCCGCGCTCTCTTCACCAGGTCATTGAGCTTGCGCAGGGCCGCGTTGCGGGGCAGGTTCTGGATCTCCTGGAACAGATCCTGCTCCTCCAGCTCAAAGAGGCTCCGGTTGTCGGCCACCAGTAAGGGCTGGGACCAGAAGGACCCAATGAAGACCCTCAGCACCTCGGGGGTGTTGAAGACCTTCCCTAAGGACCAGAGCAGGGCCCCATAGACGCGCATGAGCTGCTGGGTCTCCACCGTGTCGGCCTTGTTGAGGACCACCCGGATCTTGTCCTCGTTGCCCCTGAGGGCCCCGATGGCTTCCGAGAACTCGTCGGAGATTTCCAGTTTGTGGGCGTCGAAGAGGAGGATGATGAGGTCCACGCGCTCGGCGAACCAGTGCAGTACGGCTGGGAAGTCGTAGCCTGGGTGGGGAATGGGGTGGGGATGGGGATGGGGATGGGGAATGGGAACAAGGAGAAGGGGAATGGGGAGGGGAAAGGAATGGGAATGGGAAGGGGAAGTGGAAGGGGAAGGGGAGGGGAAAGGGAAGGGAGCAGGTTTGACCTATCTTCATCTGGGGTCTCAGCGGTACAGGGCTCTTCAGGACTGCCTCCAGCAGAGTAGACAGAGACAAAGAAGTCATTCAGTAGCTCTGCCATCTCTGTATCTTCTGTCACCAGGGCACCCGTCCCGTTCATCAGCGGGCCTACATTGCCTCTGGTGTTAGTTTTACCTGCCATGTATTTGAAAAAGCTCTTTCTGCTGTCCTTGACCCCTCTCGCCAGCTTTAATTCCAAGGAGGCCTTAGCCATCCTAGCAGCTTTCCTACATCCTCTAGCAGCAGCCTTATATTCTTCCCAAGTGGCCAGCCCTTCTTTCCATGACCTGTAAACTCTCCTCTTCCACTTGAGCATACCGAGCAATTCCCTATTTAACCACGCAGGTCTCCTGACCCTCTTCCTCGACTTCCTACGTGTCGGGATGCTCCGATCTTGAGCTCGGAAAAAGCAGTCCTTGAACGTCAACCAACTATCTTGGGCCCCTTTCCCTTCAAGCAGCCTAGCCCACTGGATTTCCCCTAGCAATCGCTTGAAGAGGCCAAAGTTTGCCCTGCTAAAGTCCAGGGTTGCAATTCTACTTGCTATTCTACTGACCCTACCACACAAGATCCTGAATTCTACCATCTCGTGGTCGCTGCAACCAAGGCAGCCCTCAACCTTCACTCCTTCAACCAGACCCTCCTTGTTAGTGAGGATGAGATCCAGCAGCGCACCTCTCCTGGTTGGCTCATCCACCATTTGCATGAGGAAGTTATCATCCATACACTGGAGGAACCTCCTGGACTGAGGCTGGGTTGCCGAGTAGTCCTTCCAGCAAACATCAGGGAAGTTAAAATCCCCCACGACGACCACGGCCTGTGACTGTGAGGCCGCTCTGAGCTGCCTGTAGAAGGCCTCGTCAACTTCCTCACCCTGATCCGGTGGCCTGTAACAGACCCCCACAACAGTATCGCCCCTGCCAGCCTGCCCCTTAATTCTCACCCACAGACTCTCGACTCGCTCATCATCTGTCCCCGGACAGAACTCAACGCAATGTAGCTGCTCTCGCACGTAAAGAGCAACCCCACCACCCCGCCTGGCTGGCCTGTCTTTCCTGAAAAGGACATAGCCCTCCATGACTATATTCCAGTCATGTGAGCTGTCCCACCACGTCTCTGTAATTGCCACCAGATCATAATCTCCCGAC